AAACCTTGCCACGCAAAACCAACACATCCCCATAGGGAATTAGGTGTCTGATCAGGTGGGTTCAGCATGTGGAGGTAGACTGGCACTCATTTTAGCACATTTAGTATGTTTTAGCCCAGCGCTGACATACTGGCAGTGGCTCAGCACAGGCTTAAGTTGCTGTGACTCAGCTGCTGCTGGGTGCCCCAGAGGGTGGGAAATGCTATGGGCTTTCTGAGCTGCACTGTCGTCCTCAAAGGTCCGAGATTGGGAGGGAAATGGGAGAACAAGCTGTTCTAACTTCTGTATTGCCAAAGCCTGGGATGTATTTTAGTTAGAATTTAATACTAATTGTATGTGTACTCCTTATATATTTCATTTCTCCATGTATTCCTTAATACAGTAGAAACAACTGTACCTATAAGTTAAAATATCCTCCTGGATTTGATATATACATATCAGTACAGACTTAAAAGGTAGAGTTATATGTGGAACAGTTAAGGAATTTCTCCTTGTTCAGCTAAATGTTTAGAGAGAGACTGGTAGCATGTTGCAGCAAAGAGTCACACAGCACTGTGTGATGCAGACATCCAAGCCCTATTGTATTGCATGTTTAATAATGTAATTAAGTAGAATATATTTAAAAAAAGAGATGGAGAGCACCTCACCCAATATAACCTCTGGGTTTTTCTGTTCAGTTCATCAAAATGAAAAAAATGTATTTGGTTTGATGTGAAAAAAAAGTCTCTCTTTTTCCCATCTAGTTTTCTCTCATTTTGGCATCAAAATAAAAAAATAAGAGAAAAAAAATCCAGTAATTATTCAGTTTTTACCACATTACTTTCTGTGTTGAACTATCGCTAAATGTGTTAACTAATGGAGATGATGTCTTCAAAATGTAGCACGGAGCTTTTGGTAACTGCTACTGCAAATCATGAAGGTGTCTGAATAGAAAGGGAGGAGGTATAGTGATTCAGATCAAATTTTTGTTCCTCTGGATAACCTTCACAAGTGAATATGTTGATTTTGATGAAAACTTGCTTTAAAAAGATGCATAAAGATAGCAGAAGTAATAATGAGCTGTATTAATTTATGACGTAGACCTACTACTGACAAGCATTTTGATTTTTCTTTTCAGAATGATTGTCATTAGATATACTGCTTTGTTTTATAAAAATGGCTTAAATGTGAATCAGAAAAATAAAGCAGAACATGGTTAGTTTACTAGCTGGAAGTTTTTCAAATGAGAATATCTTTCGTAGTTGATCATTGACCAACAAATAATTTAATCATGCAGATTTATTGAATTTTTAAGGCTACAACTGTAACTATATTTCTACTATTTAGTGTTACATTTAAGAAAGAAGGATAACACCTAAGAATTAACTTTCTTGGTTATTCACCAGGTGGCTGTATGGGAAACAGTTTTGCTTGTTCTATGCATTTTGTGGGGTGCTCTTTGGGATCTGCAGTCTCTCAACACTGACATTACTGAGCACTGTGTGCTGCCTCAAAATTTGTTTTCCAGCTTATGGTAAGCTAATGTTTCTGTCTTAGGTTACTCAATTTTTCACGTGAACATAGACCACCATTTTTGGGTTGCATATCCTAAAGAGTATTTTTATAGAAGCGATCTTTCACATCCAGTCAAAACTTTCTTACTACTGTGATCACTGGTAATTAACTATAGGGATAGATGTATGTGATTGAGTACTTATAAGCTCTTTTAAGTCAGGGTGATAATTTGGAATCATGGAATAAGAGCTGTGGTCTGAAAGCAAGGCTAGGCTGAATAAACTATTTTTTTCAGAGTTTATTGCTACATTTTGATAGAGATTTATTTATACAGATTTATGTTGTGCTAAGTATCCTAGATATATCACAGAATTCAGTTACCTTTTTTTTTTTTTTAAATTGTTGTGAACCATGCCCTATTCTTACAAACCTTCAATATGCTATAGTATTTTGAACACCTGTTAAACCTGTCCTTCTTACTTACCCTGCTCAGCTGCCTGCATATGGGAAACTCCATCCAGACATGCCAGCTATGCTGATCTTCACTGATTGTTTTGTGTCTTCCAGGGAACAGGTTCAAGAGAGAACATGGACAAATCTTGATAGCCTGTGCTTGGACTTACGCAGCAGTTTTTGCCTGTTCTCCCCTGGCTCACTGGGGAGAATACGGAGCGGAGCCCTACGGCACAGCCTGCTGCATTGACTGGCGTTCCACCAACGTAAATTCCGTGGCCATGTCTTACATCGTAGTCCTCTTTGTTTTCTGTTTTGTCCTCCCTTGCGGAGTCATTGTCACTTCCTACTCTCTTATTCTGGTAACTGTGAAGGAATCCAGGAAAGCAGTGGAACAACACGTCTCCGGGCCCGCCAGGATAAGCAACGCGCAAACTGTTACTGTCAAGGTATTTGAAAGTTAGTTTTTGGCAAGCCATTTTTGGCACAGCTGGGCAGCACCATTTAAGGACCAAGAAGGTTCCTGAGAAGGGAATAAAGATGGAAAAGAAAATCAGTCCTCACTGCATTTTCATTTCAGACAACAATATTGTCTTGTGCAGATTCGCTGCATGGCAATGAGTTGCTAAACATACAAATGATAGCTGTGTTGTTTCTGTAGGGTGATAATTAAGCTCACGGAGATTCTTTACTTGTGAAAATTAACATTTCAGACTTTTGATCAAAAGGAAGGTTAAAAATTGGAGCACTGTGTGGAAGTGAGTTTGGGTCTCATGCTCATGAACTATTGCTTATGAAAACCAGTCTGGTTTTGAGTGAATGTTGTTTGTCCAGCTACAGACATCTAAGGAGATCTAGGCTTAAACTTTACATCATTAAAGATTTTAAATAGTATTGTAGAGATCAAATTCTCTTGATTACAACTGAAAAATGGACAAAACTCACAGAAAAATATATTTCTGTAACCACTTTTTGAACCAAAACCTCTGAAGTTTTGTGTTTCACTAGCTTAGACAGTAAAATAAAGCTGTGGTCACAGTAGTAGGGGAAATTGTTTCCTGCTGCCAAACTATGTCCCTGTCCTTTCCAGGAGATCAGCATCTATTTTTTCAATATTCCAAAAAATAAGAAGAGGAACTTTGCAGCTAACATTAGGTGTACTTCATTCCTTAGATAATGTACCACTTGAAAGACGAATGCTACCTCTTGACTCTGTTAATTATCTCCAGAGAGAAAAATCTTTGTTTTTTCTTGATTTCATTGAATCCTTCTCTCATTTCTCTAGTTATTTGGCATGTCCTTCTAAGTATCTTCCTCACCACCCTTCACCTTTTCTGCTTGGAGTCATCTTTGGTCCTTATCTTCTCTCTCTGTTCAGGAATATGGACATTCTCACTTGCAAATACAATTGGGTATCTCACAGATCTTTTTCTGTATAGATGATCTGCTTTCTCTTTTTCATGCTAACAAACTTGGTCTCTCTCTGACATCTCTCTTCAGATTACCAAGGCCAGTGTAGCTTCAGTAGACATCTTAATCTGTCCTGCTCTCCTTTTGAGTTTTTTGGTTTTGACCACAGTTGGAAACACCATCCTCCTGTCTACTGCATGGTCTTGTAACCTAAATATCTTCCTCAATCCAAGCAATTTAAGAACTAATCGGTTATGTCAATGTCTTACCTAATCCTTCTTTGTAATAACTGTTAGATGGAACATTTCCCAACTAAAGCTCTTAAGTATATTCCTACTCCATTCCTGGATATTTAGTAGACATTCGTTTTCTTAAGTCTTTCATTTGACTACAGGATACTATCCTTTAACTCTTTAATTAACTTTTAAAGCTCTTCACGGCTTATCCTAATTGACTTCTATACTCCTGTTCAGTGCGGCCAACATGCTGGTTACACTGTATGCTCACAACGCTCAGAAATGCACATGCATGCTCAATGCTACTTGTCATTCTTATGAGTTCCTTCTAATAAGCACTAGCAAAATGAAAACAATATCTCCTTCAAAACTTCCTTTGTGATGTTAACAAAAAAAGTCACACTGGTATGTCATACTGCTTATCATGTACTGATAGGTATTTCTTCTCTTTATTCCCTGTTTTTTTCCTCTCAGAATTGCTCTGATCTTCACTGTTAGATTGTAAACTCTTTGAGATACTCTGAGACTGCTTATCATCTGCAGAAATAGATGAGATATAGATTCACCTTAGAATAATAATAATACAAACAACAAACAGATGTGCATCTTAATCCCTTAGAGATATTTGCTAAGGGGATGGTATAAGTCAAACTCATAAAAGCAGAGAGGAGAGAAGAAACTTTTTTTAATTTTTTTTTTCCTTAAAAAACTCTGCTAAAACAATCCACCCCACATATGTCAATTTTGTGGTGTACTTTTTGAATGATTATTTGTTGAACTGTAGTTCTTCCTGCTGGATTTGAGCTGCAATGCAACCTACCTTGTAGTGCCTGTCAAGTTAGAGACCATTTATAGCCCATTCTTCCTCCGTCATTTTCCATCCTGCCTCTGACATCAGGTCACTGTAATTTAGGAGTCCTGGCCAGGTTTGACCTGCGCCTCTACGGTCTGATCCAGCTTCAGTGGCAGTGCTTGGCCATTGCTTCAGTCTTGAAAAGCTACATCCAGAAAATTACTTGGGCACTTAAAATGGAACTTAGACTCTTATGAGTCTGGCTAAGCCCAGAAATATGATTATGGAAGCTCTTGCTTGGTGGCTGCCTATGCCTCGAGGCTCCAAGAAAATGCCACAAGTTCCTCTCTAAGCGTAAAGGTTTCCCCAAGTTTCTGCAGTTTGCTTTAATCTGTATTGCACTGCTATCGCTTTCCTAAAATATATTAACATAACCAGGCCATAGCATTCAATTTAGGCCCATTTTACTTTATTTATTAGTAACTGAATATTTTTATTAAAAAAGAACAATAAAATACAGATAACATTCACTATCATTAATCTACTTCCCATGCTAAAAGATCTGTCTATAGTGGTTTTTTTCTGTGCTATTTTAGATTGACAATATCAAGAATTTTAGAAAATGTAATGGGAGCTGTATAGTGCTATTAGTGCTTTTGTGCTTGTAAATTTGCAAGGTTGGTAAACAGCTGATATTGCTTTTATTATTATACAGTGCCATGAAAATAAATTATAATGCATACAGAGGACACTATTGTGTGTCACACACATGCACTCATGTGATCTCTTCACAGGTGCATGGATTTGCTAGCTTCTGGAGCAAAAATGCTCTGAGCATATAGATAAGACAGATAAATACGAATGCAATTAGAGATGTAGAAAATTGCCTCTGCTCCGGGAGTTCCTTGGGTTTAAGCCATTTTAGAAACACATCTTAGTTACCCCTAGATGTTGCAGGAGCAAAACCACCATGAGTATAACTTCATGTCTCATCAAATATTTGTCCAAATACCATTTCTGAATTGTCTGCAGTACATCCAATTTAAATCATGAGGGCTAAGCCTTTGGCCTCGGAGATTGTTTTCAGTTTTTGTTCTGATTCATGTATGACCTTGGACAAAACTCCTGGTACTTGTATCTGTGGCTGTAATCTGTGATACCTCTGAAGTACCTGATTTAAAACACTGAACTATCATTTGGCTAAAAAGGACAAGGTTGAATAATTCACATCTCTCTTCTAAAATAAACTGATTTTTTTTTCATTTTTGGAATGCAATGATTTCCAGAGAAACAACTCAAATCTACACACCATGAAGGTTAATTGATCTTAAATTGGTTTTCTACAATGCTTGGACATAGTGCTTGGGGTTTTTTAATCCTCATTAAATTATTTTTTGTGAAATTAATAGAAATTTTACCACCAACATAAATGGAGGATGTCACACTGCTCTGAAACCGGAAGTATTATATATCCGCTGGAACTAATAATCTTGAAAGCTGTAGATAATTACAGATGGGAAGATCTATGAGCATAATAGGAAATATAATGGAAATCAGATTGGATAAAGGTTACTCTTCAAATAAGACCTACAGTTTAGAATACAAGATGCTAGATCTCAATAATCGACTGTAATGGGTAAATCTCCTCCTGAAGCAAAAGAAGAATTACAGCTGTTCAATGCCTTTCTTGATTTTGTCCACCTTAAACAGATGCTTTAGTTGTAAGGCAAAGCATCATTGCGATTTGCTGGAGGCATTTCAAAGTCATTTAGGGATTAGTGGTCAGTGTGCTATTTCTAAATGAGTGTGAAGGGTGAGAATCTGCATGAAGACACAGTCTCAATGACAAACTCACACTATTGACTTCATAATATTTATTGATCTGAGGTGGAGGCAATCAGCTTTTTGGCAAGAATAGGTGAATCCGGTTAACTGATAAAGAGCATGTTGAACATGTCTTACTGTCAAGGCTTGTTATGGCAGAATATAGACATTTCATTTGGGGAGAATGTGAAATTGAGCTTCTGTTACTGTAATACAGATGATCACATTTATGATTGACTTTTACTTTTATGTAGTATAAACATTTATAATAGTGAAACATGAAAGAAGTAGTGCTTTTAGATTCCTATGTAAGCAAGGCTCAGATCAAAAAAACTTCCATTATACTTCAGACCTTTCAGGAAAGTTGCCTTCATTTTTGTGCTCTCTCATTTGACTAGTTCATTTACAGTGATCACCACTACACATCTAAAAATCCTAGGTTTTCCAGACGTGCTGATCCTATGAAGTTGTCAGGCATCTTGGGCAAAAGTACAATTTTTCTTTTTTTTACATCTGGAAAAGTTTATAGAGGGAAAAGAGGACAGATCAAGGGTGTGAGACAGCCTCTAGTCATCCCAAGTTCATCAGATTTCTGTTACAGCCTGATGAATACCATTTTAATTCCTTTCCTCCCAGTGTAGTAATGATAGCATTGGTTGTTCTTGTCTGTTGCTTTTCAGACCTTGCCATCATTGCTTTGCAATATTTTGAGATACAGTTGCAATATGCTTTGGCTTTACAGGTCAGGAAACTACCAGTCTGCAATGTTTAGCTGGCTAGTTTCATGATTTCTATGCACAGTGAAACTCTGCGAGATGGGAAATTATGGCCAATATTTCCCTTACCAATGAGAACTGGAGCAAGGTTAAACTAACAAACTAAGGCCTCCAGTGTAGCCATAATTAGCTACAAGGCTCAAATTCAGGAACCACCTGAATCTTGCTTTGCCTGGTGCTTAGCCCATTAGCCTCTGCCCCTTAGAGCATGTTTCTGTCTCCAGGGTTTGGTATGGTACTTATGGTGACCTGAATACTCAGCAAAGTTTGCACAGAGAAGCAGTCTGCAGTTTTCTAATAGACGCTTCTGCTCTTGCGGGCTTTTGAAGAAAGAGCGAGATAAGTCTTGCCCGAGGCTGGTCCATGAGGTTGAATTTGTGAGCCTTGCAGTCTTCAGGGACCCAGAGGCT